ACGGGGTGGTATTAGTGTGGTTTATAGGAAAAAAATTTCTTTACATATTCTAATTTTGAACATACATTTGATAAATAAATAAGAAATGGCACGAAGAGGATATACAGAGAAAAACGTTTCTTAACGGCTTGATGACAAAAATATCCGATCTTCAACGTTAAAAAAGCTGTGAATATCTGCAGAAAATACTGGAATCAGCAAAATAATTCCAAAATTTTTTTCACACAAAATCTGCAGCGCTCTAGTGATGAAATCGAAGAAAATTCCGTAACCAATGAGGACTAGGCTATTGGAAAAATTATGGTGAGGTGATCAGCTTAAAGCAGACGATGATGAGTGGAACTACATTTCTTCTGGAGTTCCAGCAAAGGAGACAGTGATGAAGGATGAATGGATCCATATCATTTTCTATACAACGAAATTTTAATTTTGAATGACTTTTTTAACTAGCTTAAGATTTTTAGGCATCCTTTCACGCGTTATTCAATTACCTTTAAAAGGCGATGACGTCATAAAATGATGATGACGTCATGAAAGAACGTTTAAAAGTAAGTATAATAGAAATTCAATACATCTTTTAAAAGCACTGAATGCGTGCAATTCGAATATGGAACATATTTGACAATGATAGTTGCGAGAAAACAATTAAAAAGGTTCAAAGTGAATTTTCTCCAAGTTGATGACGTCATCACAAAATTTGACTTCCGTTCAAGATATTTTTCATTTCATCTCAGATTTGAAATCTGCATAGTTAATTTAGTGCAAAAATGCAAAAAAAGTTGAGTTCGAGTCCTTGGCCGATTTTTAAAGATTTTTTATCATTTTTTTGATGACGTCATCAAAAACAGTAACTTCCGGTGATAATTTTTTTTGGCCCATCTTGGATTTGGAATCTCCATGGTCGATTTAGTAAGAATGTGAAATAAAATTTGAGGTTAGGCAGTTTGCTAGTTTTTTCTACAAAATTCCCTGTCTAATTAATGGCGACTCCAAAGTTTGCTTGATTGACAAGTGTGAAATTTTAAACTCGCCAAGCATTGTGCTCCATTTTTTACTCATAACGTCTCATAACATCGCACTACGATGAAATTATATTATTTGAAACACATCGCGTTTCACAATGTTACATTTTTGCATAGGGTACCAAAACGCATATTACACCGGCATCATCCTAGGCAATCTCGCCAGCACAATGCATTATTTTGCAAACATTTCTGCAAAAAGCTTTTAATTTGCCGCGTTTTCATTTTCTTTTAATTTATATCCAGACCGCTCTTGATTGGTTTCTCTTTTGACCAATCAGCAAACGCTAACCCTCACCTAGTAAAGAAGTTAAAAAGAAAAAAACGGATCTCTTCACAAGACGGATCTTTTGTTTAGAAGTAGACAGTTTCCAAACATCTAAAGAAAGATGACTTTGTTTGTTCGCTCCTAATTTAAAACACGGTATGGTATAATGTGAAACAAAAAAAGAAGGGAAATGGAATTAAAGCTACATTCGCATCTGAATTTGTACTTTCAAAATTTCTAGGGAGATTTCGCACCATGAAAGAAAAGGCATTTTGTCCATTGATCGTATTTAGTAACGGTACCTTGAGGTTAGTTTCTGTTGATTGTAGAAACCATTCTCTATCAGACGAATAATTTTTCAAGCAATCTGGGCAAGCGAATTCAAAGATTTGTGAGTTAGCATGGTTATTTCTTTTCCTTAAGATAACCGATAGCCAACAATCGGAATGCATGGATTCCTTGTTACAATCTGTGTAGCTCCTTTCAACATTGCCTGCGAGTCGTTAATTTTTTATTTACTACCATAGCCCTAAACAAAGCTGGTCAGATGCGGCTCACAAATTCTTCTTCGCAACTCCTCTTACTATATTATAAAAGCAGCCTTTCGAATCAGTACAAGTCAATACACTTGCTCTTGTAGGGCATTAGAGTCAGACGATTTGAAAACCTCTTCAAGCATGAATCTCACATGCCACATAAAAGACTTCCAGTAGTTTTAAAGAAGTTTGCTTTTCTAGATTTTTGGGAAAAAAATACAATTTTTGCTTTTCAAATTTATAAGAATTCGATTGAAGCAAGCCTGTATCCTCTGACATGGTTTGTCTTGTGAATGAATGGCGAATTTTTAGAAAAACTGTTCTTGCTTTCATTCATAAAAATCTTCTTTCGGGGATCGGATCAGATCCTGATAAAGAGCATTTCTAGCATCCTGCAAACTGCACTTTTTAAGCTTTTGTAAGACAATCATCACCGTTTTTTAGGAAATCTTTGCAGAAATTTCTCAGCTGGAGCAGATAAGGAGTCGTCTAAGACCCTCCACCAAACCAAGTAGCGTTTTTACCTCCATGGTTTGCTTAAATCTAATTAAAACCATTGCTCTTGTGTTGATTATAGGACACAATTCAATTATACCCACGTTGATTTAATTCTATGACACTGGAGAGTATTGACAGAAGTCTACTCATCTCAGAAGAAAAATATGCAGAGAAAGCAGTGCATAAAAATTGTGTATAGTACTTTAATTTGACACGCCTTTCCTACGTATCGTTTTACTTGAAAAACTCTCCCATGACGGTTTGCAAACGTTAACACGGTAAATTGAACGTTTAGGTTGTTATCACGAGGTAAATTGTTGGTTAGATTGAAAGCATTCATCGAACACCTTCGAATAAAAAGCTAAGTAATTTCTTTTTTAATCACGCATCGCTATCTTTTTATCAAATTTTGTTTACATTCATTTGTGATCCTAATTCAAACAGTTAAACTGACATTACAAAATATTCTACAAAAATTATGTTACAAACAGAACAAAATATTTCAACAACGACTGTTTCGACTTTTGAGAGTTTTCTTTGCAATTGCAATGAGAAATTTCTTAGAATTGAATTTCCTGTCCATTCGATACATTTTCGTCTTGCAAATATTTTTGATCTGCTCTCATAAGATGTGTCAAAAATACCTCTAGCTTCGTTTAGCCCCTTTGCAATTAAGAACGCTTCCAAACCATAAAATACAATATTGCAAATTTTGCAATCTAGAGGTTCATCTCGCCAATAGTTTCAAGATAATATTTAACTTCCAAGATTTTAGAAAACAAGCATCAATTCAATTGGATCATTGTTTCTAAGATAGCCTTGCTGTGCCTAAAAGATTTCCCAGAATTCCTAAAACGATACAAGATTAACATAGCTTTTTTCTTTCTTTAATCGCTTTTGCTCTCCAGTAAACAGATGTAAAGCTGTATCGATCTATCCCTAAAAACCTGTAAAGGGTCAAGATGGGACTGAACTAAAAAGGATTGGTTGCATGCATGCCGAACCAATGCGGAAGTAATGCCAGTTTTACAATTAAGAGGGCTATTTTTCCAATGGGGAGCCAACTGCGGCTAACCGAAGTAATTCACCAGAAATTTTTCCTATCACCCCATACCAAAAAATGGAGGAAGGGGGATGTAGTACCGCCATTGGGTACACTAGCAACTTTCATATCCAACCATTGCCATGTTCATTTTCTTGCAGCAGAAATTGAAATGGAAAATCTACTATTTATTATTAGCCTTGATCAAGTTATTGAAAACAATAACTTTACAGCTTTAGGGATTTGACAATGCTGTTTTCGAGGAAAAAACATGACTCTCCTACCCCGCGCTGATAAGTCAAAATAATTGGGAATTCCTAAAAAACATTAGCGAAGTTTCTTAACAAATACTAAATTGGCTAGCTATAGGTCGACCATTGACAGATAATCAATTAAACTTACTGTCAGTCAACAATTGGCCAATAAGTGAGCCTGATTGCACTCACACGCTTGTCGATTGGCTGATATTAATTGACTTAAGCCACTGGAGTTTCATTCGATTGCCTTTAAGTGCGAATGAACATACTTCTAGAACTTCTGATAATCAAAACCCATTTTGTCACCAGCTTCTAACAATGCGTCTTCAGCGTTGCTTAACAAATCAGAAACAACCCCGTGCCTTTGTTTTGTATCCGTGTAGTATCCGAAATGCACTGCGGCCTTTTTAGCCAGGCTTTCTAATTGCCTCGCTTTGTGAAGTGTCTTTTTGGCCTTGTTAAGCTTCCACTTGATCTCATCTTCTCGATTCGCAAACGAGGGTGATTCCTCAACAGAGGTCGGGTCATCTCCGTGAATAATCTGCCTTTCTTGGGCTTTGGCTAGAGCATCAATCAGCTGCGCATTGCTTTCACTGTTTTGGCCTAATGAATACGAAACTAGAATGAGTAAGCCAGTCCCATCCAGGATTCGAAGTGCTCTAGACGAAATAATCTTATAGCACCTCATATAAATCAAAACTGAAAGCATTTCATAATGTATGTATAAAAAAACCAATTCTAAGCTCACTAGAAAGGAGGTTTAAAGGGTTTCCATCTTTTCAAGGAAGAGTCTTTAGCTGACATGGATAAAGTAATAGATTCGTGTCAAAGGGTGGGAAAATTTGTGTGGTATCTACACACAAAATTACTAACATTCATATAAGAGTTTTAGATAATGCCAAAAATATCGCTTTTAAGAAATATTGGTGCTTGTTATGAAAAGGAAGGTGTGCAGAATGATTATAAAAATGACCAAACATGCAAGGGAAATTTACCATCTTTTTTTTCTTTGAGAAAAGCAATAGTTCAAATGAAGATAATAGCCTCCAATTCAAATTGAATATCTATAAATTCATATAGAGAATGAAGGCACAATCTCTGCAGAAAGCTACCGTGGACTATCTCTATAGCTGAACTCGTAGCCAATTCTCCAGCAGTATTGTTTTCAGTTGGCTGGAGATTGTGTAGGCCGTTGTAAAGGTGTTCCACGATCCTTTATTTGCTTAGCTTTAAATAGTTAGCTTGCGTCTCTATAAAGATGTGTTGATATTTTAAAAGCATCTTGTGGTTCATCAGATAATTTTTCTGACTTGATCATGGCTTTGTTTTCAATACAGGAAAAAATGAAAATAGCTTTATGATTAGTCTTGCCGGATTTTTGAATCAGAGTTGAAGAAGGAGGCCACTCCAGCAACCCAATTCTGACTTTATGGTCTAGCATGTCAGTCTACTGATTTCTTTTCTTAAAGTGCTGTTATCCACTGGTGGAAATTTGAAACATTGCAAACTTTATTAAACTGCAGGATGCAGCTTTGTCTGAGCAGCTGATGAGCAATAACGAAACAGAGCCTTTCAAGATGTCGAGACACTCGCTGAGATAAGATCAAAACTTATGGGCCCAGTTTTTCTTCAAGCGTACAAATTTACTCATACAATTGATCCTATGAAAATTGGTTCCTCTTAAAATTTTTTACAGATGTTACCACTTTCAACGCTCCTTATAGAGTACCGAAGTGATGACATCAGAAAAATCTTCTTTAAAATTTGTCAATTTTGACTATATAACTCGACCAATCATTACCTCTAAATGTGTTACAAATTGGCTGAGCACAGGCGTTTCCCTTATCAGACCTCGAAAATTCAGTTTTGGTCCAGGCCAGAATAACAGTAATCATTATCTGTTAGCAAACTTAAAATTTTGATGACGTCACATTTTAGCACTCTATTGTCGTCAAAGCTTGATATAGGGTAGCAACCAAGTGAGGGAAGTGACAAAGGAAACAATCACTTTCGACTCTCACAGGAAGGGCTGTCGCTAGCTATTGTGCTCAAGGGTTGTCTCCAGGTCCCGTTTGGCGATAGAATGGGTGCACCATCCTTTGTTTGCCGACACAACGGCTCTGCTCATTGGATGATAGCAAATTTCGCTCAATATTTATCTTTTATGTTGAAAAAACTGATCAAGCATTGCTTGTGAAGCGATCCAACATTCCACCCAAAATTTTTCACGCTGTTCAAAAAAAGACTGGGTAGAAGATCGCGCTGAAGTCTTCACATAAAGGTTCGGGACATTAAAGGCAATCAGTACCTTCTCTATATTTTTTCTCCTCATCGAATGTGATGACAGACTTTTCCACTGTCATCGCGGTCTTTCGGAATGAGAGTCACATTCTGCATCAAAGCCTTTGTCTAAAATCGTCCCCCTCCACTTTATTGTAGCTCCACTGTGCTACAGGCTCTTCTTTGACGTTTTATGCCTCTTCTCGCGCACAGAATTCGCTATGTTCCGTTATACTAAAGTATAATTGATTCCAAGCAAACACGAATGATGGGGGATGTCGAAACGAACAAAACCAACCCGACAAATCAACAACGATACGATGGTTGAGTATTGGCACTCTTTAACCAAATGCACGTGCGCAGAGCTAACAATTTTGGCTGATTTGGTCAAACGGTCCATCGTTTCACCCAAGATTTCAAAACAATAGAAATATCGGATGTCGGCAGCCAAAATATTGACCTCAGTCAAATTTTACCAAGGTGCGAGGATGGCTCAGTTGTTAGAGGCGCTGACTACAGACCCAGGGGTCCGTGGTTCGCGTCTCTGGCATGACAAAACTTTCACCCAGAGTGAGGAGTGTCGCCAGCTCTCTGTAATTCCAGGCGTAGGAATCACGAGGTGTGGTCACATCGAGAGGAAGGACCAGGACACTGCTCGATAAGCATAAGCTTCTCAGTGTCCTAAAAGCTACTTTCGGATGCTTAGTAGAAACAAATACAAAAAACAAATACAAATTGCACCAAACATCGAAAATGACAATGATTGATGACCCAATATGGTGGTCAAGATTCAAAATTAGGCCCAACATGATGGTTGGAGAGATGTTGGATGAAATGCTGGACGGCTTCTGTTACTTAAAATTTACAAGCAATGATATTACCATAGGAGATTGGCATTTATATAGTCTATTGCAGAAGCCTGTGGCAAAAATTAAGAGAAATACAATTTATGAACAGCGTTTCAATAGAAGTCTCATTAAGGTTCCAAGGGTCTCATTAAGCTTTTAATTATTTCAAGTTAAAGGTTGGCTTAGAAAAATTAGTTTGACTACTGTCGGCATGTTAACTGCAGAAAGATTTAGATCGGTAGCCGTCAGAATTGAGAAAGATAGTGTTTAAACTGTGCAAGGGATAGACGTTTTGAGTTAAGCTGGTTGTGAGATATATTCAGCGATTTAAAATATGGATGGATAAAGAAACTCGTTCTCGCATTTTGTTTGAGAGAAAGAAATGTTGATGAAATGTTGAAAAGCTTATGGTTATACTGTGCTGCGGAGGCTTAATTGCTCAATAAACTTGCAGCTTGGCGTAATATGTGATAGCGTCGGCATCAAATAAAACTTAAAGTCGTTGTTTATCTAAAATGATCGATAAATTGTGTAACCTATCTGAACACATTTTGTAGATTTTGGAATACAAGGAAGACATACAAAACCGGTAATCCTGAAAATGAAATAGGCTATCAAATGTTTCCAAGATGATGTGAAAACATTTCATAGCATTGGGAACGAAAAATTTACACGAAGCTCTAAAGGTGTAGCCTGCGCGCAGATCTTACCACAACTGTAGTATCTTACGATTATGGTTAGATACTTAGAGTCTGCGCGCAGGCTATAAATGTGCTGCCTCGACAGTTATTGTCGAAGATTTAGACAAGAACAAATAATAATTGCATTCAAGAACCTTTACAAAACACTTGTAAACATTTGCCCAAGTTTCATAAATAACTTTGATTTGAAATCTCTACAAAGGCTTTTAGTGGAATTTTTTATCTAAAAGTTGGCTAATAGGACTAGAAAAGAACATCTAATAGAACATCTAATAGGACTAGAAAAGAACATCTAATAGAACATCTAATAGGACTAGAAAAGCCCCTTCAGCTTGATATTCATAAAAATTTTCCAAAAGCTGTTCGAGAATGATTTGAATGTCGTATGGTCGTGAGGTCGTGGAGCGTTCAATTCAAGAAGAACCGGTAAAAAAAGGTACAAAAGCAAATTTTCACTATCCAGTGCAGAATGTTTTCCTCTATAACATGCGCAAAATCGCCTAAAGTCGACCGTAGGGAAAAATCTTTATTTAGGTTTATATGATATACGAGGCCAAATTCGATAATCAAATACTTGTAGCACAACTGAGGGCATCTGTTCAGAAAAGCAAGAAATGTTCTTCTTTTAAAATTGTAAATTTGCGTAAAAATTCTCCTTTTCTAAGTCTGGAAAGTAAAGAAGAGTGTTAATAAAGGAAGAAGCCAGTTTTTTCTGATTTCCTTAAAAATATGGGCGGAAATTTTATAACCGACAGGTTTTCGGATGCTAAAAAACGAATTTCGTTAACGCACTATAAGCCAGGTACATTTGTCAATATTTTAGGGCACATAAAGTTATTCAATGCCTTAGCAATTTACTCGGGGCAGGGGCTATTTTGGGTATTGGGGATATGCCAGCCAAAGATGTGATGTCCTTTTGTGATTTCGATATCAACACAGGTCATTATTTTCTGATAACTGGTACAAATGAACGGCTCACTTTCTGGAAACTGGAACTCTCTGGATAAAATATGGTAGAAAATCGCTAAGCAATTTGGTGGATTAAAAATTTGTGATATGCAAGCTAATTTTTAAAAATGGAAAGGCAGTACACGCTATGAAAAAGGTGCCTCAAACATGATAAAGGACATTGAAAGATACGTAAGACTTAATTTAAACAGTTTTTCAACAGAGAGAGTTAAAAAAACTGCAATTGGTAACGTTTTAGCTGATCAAAACTGTCGTCAAGACTTTCACAACCCAAGAAAGGTATCTCAAAAAAGTTAGGATGTAAGCGCATCTCCTTGTTCTAAAAGACTACAATCCAGTTTTACTGAGCTCAGGTGGAAAAAATATTGCTTCCTTTGTGGTAATGCTGCTATATAACAATGATGCACCTTCACGACAGCATTGATCTTGTAGCAACAGACGCAATATATAATCAAATATCATGAGAACTGCTTTTCACGTTTCATGCTAAGCAAGGAATTCCAAAATTGAAGACAGAATTGATCTATTTGTAAAAGTGTTGAAAAATTAGTACTCTCATTTTTAATCAGGAATTTTCAAAAATTTTGGCAGGTTGGCAAGAAGGCTTGATTATTTTGCTACTGTTTAACCTATACTCAGGGCCCACGCCACGTATTCTCAGTGGAGGGGCCAAGTTCTATACATTGAACTTGAATTTAAGGCTTCAAAACAGGACTTTTTACTTAAGCCTATATTATCATATGCCCATATTACTTAAGAAACTCCCAATTCAAAACAGCGGAGCCACATTACAAAATATATGGAT